CTCCACAGTATGGCCCTCCCCGCTTCCTGCTGTTCCTTAGCTGCTTTCCCTGCTGCTGGAGGCCCTGTCCTGCCCTGACTGTGTGGTGCAGCTCTCTACCCTCAGCTGCCTTCATCCTCTTCTACTGGAAGCACCCCAGGTCATGAGTCTCCACATTGACACCCTCGTCACCAAGTTTCTGAACCTCAGCTCCAGCCCTTCCATGGTGGGTTGACCCCAGCACCTCATTTACAGCTATACCTCTCCTCCGGGCTCACCTTGCCTCACCTCACCTCACCTCCTCCTGGTTGTGTTCCAGGCTGTCCGGATTGCTGCTCTGCAGTGTATGCATGCTCTCACTCGCCTGCCTACCCCAGTGGTAAGTACCTGGAAGAGCCAGGGAAGTACCTTTCCACCTTAGTCAGCTGTCATCCACCCTGCTGTGTGACATGCAAACTGCGAGGGCCAGCCTATGGCCCCGTGGTTAAGGGAGGTGTGTGGACTAGGAGGTACACAGGGGTCTTTTGCCTTGGACCCCGTCGGTTCTGATAACCCTGTTGGAAAATGGCCACCTGGCAAAGCAAGGCCACGACAAGCCCCTCTGACTCCACAGCTGCTGCCGTACAAAGCACAGGTGATCCGGGCCTTGGCCAAACCCCTGGATGATAAGAAGAGACTGGTGCGCAAGGAAGCCGTGTCAGCCAGGGGAGAGTGGTGAGTCTGCAGCCTGGGAGTGGGTGCAATGAGGCTCAGCACACACGCTGCCCACACTGTTTGTGCCTGCAGGTTCCTGCTGGGAAGCCCTGGCAGCTGAGTCTCCAGTCCTGGCCTGGCCTGCTCTGACAGTCTCACCTGGAAGTACTAACTACCGAGCCATTTTGCCAGAGGCAGGGAGACCACTGGTCTCGGAATGCCTTTGCCTTTCCCAAAGAGAGTGCAAAGCCGGGCCCCTGCTCCATGGTGTGCAAAAACATGAATGCTGACTCCAGCTGATCTGTGAAGTAACTGGGTGTGAGATCACATGTATTTGGAGAAAGACTGGGGGCTGTGGGGCTCTTCTTTGTATGTCAGGAAAAGACACACTGAGGGTAAAGGCAGATGCGTGTGGCTCCGAAGGACAGGGACAGTGGATTTGTGTGTACCTGCTGGAGAATAAAAGAGTGCTTTTGGTAATTGGGCTGCCCATCCGTCTGCTCCGCCTACATGGGCCCTGGTGGCACACTGAGCATAGCCTTAGCCAGCACAGTGCTGTAGGACTGTTCCGGGCAACTGGCTTCCCCTCCATGCCCTACCATCAGGCACAGTGAGAAGCTACGTGGCTTTAAAAATCAAATACCTTTATTTCTGCCCCCTTCCGCAGCATGTGAGAAGTGGCAGTGACCTCAGTCAGCAGCAGCCTGCTCTCTGCTGTCTTCTCAGACTGCAGGGACGAGGTGCCAGCCCAGTGCTGTAACCGGGGAGGCAGGGTCGGCACCGGGGAAGAGCTAGCTGCCTGAGCCCTGGTCTTGGGCTGGGACTCCAGTTTGCCTGAGTAAAGGGACATCAGTCATAGGACTTCACATCCTGTCTTCTGCATTGTCCAGAAGGTTGGTCCTTGAGCTGTCCCAGCATGCTATCTTAAGGCAGGCTTAATGGCTCTTTTTGACCAAGGATTCCAGGAAAATCTGCCCTTGGAGGCCCTTGAGGCAACGTAAGAAGCAGAATGAATACTCAAGTTGTGGCTGGCGTAACCTAGCTCACACTGCCATCACAGAGGTCGAGTGAGCTGTCACCCAGGGAGGGGGCTCCCAGCTCATTCCATTCCCATGGGGCAGGTGACTGGAAGGTAGCAGCACTCGGGTGAGCCAGTGCCTACAAGAGAAGAGAGAAATGTCTCGAGTCCCAAGAGTTCTCGGTCGTCCTGATGACCTTATTCCTCAGCACACCAGGGTATCTTGACGCTGCCCTGGAATCGAAGGCAACAAAAGCTCTCACTTCTCCTGAACTTCGTCCAGTACATGGACCCTCGGTACCTTGAACGCCTTCTTTAGATCTTAGGCCCAACTTCTAAGGGACATGCCAGAATAGAGGAAGGCAGGCAGGGGTGTACAAGGGCAGAGAGGAGCCACGAGACTGACTGTAACCTCCCAGTCCCTGGCTTGAGCTCCAGCCACTTCCATGTGAGGAGGTGGTGACTGGCGGCCACTCTTCTCCCGAGAGGTCCCTCCACTGCAGTCACTTTGCACCCTCCTCTGCTACTGACTCTGCCGTTAGGGCCTTGAGCCCCTTTGGCTCAAACGAGCAACAATCCCTAGAGTCTAGAACTGTGCTAGGACAGTAGCCACTAGCTGTTTAAATCAGTGAAAACGAAACCAAAATAAAAATCCCTCGGTGATGTTAGGTACATCCCAGGAGCAGAGGTACAGAAACGTCCTTATCACAGACTTCTGGTGGACTGCAGTCTGCACGGATCTTACCTTCCTGTGTCCACACCCAGGAATAGCTTCCAATTGTCCAAGCAGCCATAGTTGTAAGGATTCCTAAATACCTAGGGCCAAGAAAAATATGTTTATATAAGCCTTATTAATCACCTTTCTGATTTTCAAGACTAAATTAGCCAAGTTAAAGTCTAAGCAGGCAAAGTTCTGGCCTTTTTCTTTTCTTGTTACAGACAAGAAAGCACCCCCCACCCCACTCCCGGGGCGGGAGGGGGAGGGTGGACAATCATGCTGCAATCCCTTCTGTCCTTTCTCCTCTTGGGATTTTGGGAACACAGGAACACATGCCCAGCAGGTTTTTCAACTGCCAGGTCCAAGACTCGAACTGTACTGTCAACAGTGTGGGATCCAGCGGCCTTCACCACCACGCCACTGACTGGCCCAAGGTCTGGCCTTTTATGATACTTGCCATGGCCTCTCTTTCTGGGATGACAGTCGTTTCCCACTGGCCCTCCCCACGCCCCAGCCCTACTCACTCTGCCCTTGGCCTGCAGCCGACGCCTCTCCTTCCTGTTGATGTGCCTTTCGATGCTGGTCTCCCCTCGACTGATGAGAACAGCATGCCATACAGTTAGGGCACCCAGGGCTAGTGCCACGGAACTAAGAAAAGAGCAAAGATTGGTAGGTGTTGTAGAAAGGACTGAAAGAAAGCAGGTCCAACACTGGGCAGTCCTGACTGGCCAGTAGTAGCTCTGCCTAAGTCTGTATTTCCCTCCCCGTAAAGCCTGGAAGAACTTCACCTCATCTACAGACAGCATCAGTGAACAAGCGTGGGGGGGTGGAGGGATAGGGGCAGGAGCTGAGAACAGTGGGGCAGAGGGTATTAGAAACAGGACCAGCCCATGGTGTGGGGGAAGGTGGCTGGGTCCCACACAGGTCAAGCCCCAGATTTGGTGGCTTGAAAAACATGCCAGAAGTGTGCATCCCTGCCCAAAATCCTGAAAGGAGGGAGAAGGGAATGTACCCACAGGGGGGTGCTTCCTCACTTTCCCCCACACACCCTGTGGCAAAATGACAAAACCAAAACACCAGAGGCGGGGATAGGATGACATGGCACCCCGACTGCAACCCTGTCCTTCCTAGCAAGGTAGCATGAAACAAGTCCTTTAAGTGCGGCCACCTGCCCCGCGGTGGGTGGAGGACTAAAGGTCACAGGAGTTTAACTCAGCATGCACACACAAGCAAGGGCTAGTGTCCTGTGTCCCCTGCCCCAAGGGGCTGAAGAAAAAGTGCTGATGGCTACCCCATTTCCTACTAGACTAGGAAAACGGTGGCAGTTCCCTCGGGGGTGGGCACCTAAACCAAGTTTTTCTGAAGTTACTCCTCCCTTAAAACTGAAAAATGAGTTAAATACCTGCACAGGAACCAGAGGTAGACAAGACTCTTGTGAGTCATCCTTTCTCGAAAGGAAAAGGTGGGTGGTGGGGTCTGGTGATAAGTCTAGACAAAGAAAACAGCAAGTCCTGGTTCATTTGTTCATCTCCAGCAACGGTCACCAGAGCCCCAGCACCTGCAGGCAGGAAGTGACCCAGACCCAGGTGGAGAGAATGGGGGTTAAAGCCACAGAGGAGTCAGGGCAGCAGCCAGATGGGTGAACCAAGCCCGGTGGCATCATCACATGGACAAACACTGGGCAGGGGCACAGCAGGTCTGGACAAGATGGCAAAGCACAGGAGGAGCTGACCCTGGGCCTATGGACGACACCAATGGGGCTCCAGAGGAAGCCACTCCAACCTTCGCCATAGGGCTGCTCCCTGAGACGGAACAGGCCCAAACCCACGCCACACAGACTGCCCGGAACAGGGAGAACCAGAACTCCAGTAAGAACTGCGAGTGGCGGCAGAGGTGCGAGCGTATGAGCCCAATGTGCTCAGATAAGGGAATGCTAAAAGGCACCAGGTTGGGGAGGTGAGAGGGCTGGGGGTGATGCAGACGAACCAGGAGTGAAGGACGATCAGACTGGCCCAGCCAGATCTCCACCTCCTAGAGCCCCTTTACACAGACTCACATGGACTCCTTGCTGCTCAGGCCATCACCAAGGCCGAGTTCTTGCTCAGCCCCAAGAGAGGTGATGAGGGATAGATGGCCAAAAATTGTCATGGATCAGGGACCACTGCATGCCCTAGACATTTAGCTCACTCATGGCCCATAGCCTCCCTGAGCACCCCTGATCTGGTCCACCATGGCCAGCCAGCCGGCTTCTACAACTAAACTTGAAGGTTGGCGGTCCAGTTGCCTGAGCAACTCTGAGCCCCCAGGCCTGAGCAGCAGGAGGCAGTGGGGTGGGGACAGCCCACCTGGTTAGCAACCGCCTGTAGTTTGTTCTTGTCGAGCTGTTTCATTTTCTAAGGGGATGGAAAACAGTGCTGGTTATACTCTCAGGCCTCTAGGACGGGGTGCAACCAGCCCCATCCCTTCGGGACAGGTTCCACACCTCAGGGTTCTGTGTTACTGAGCCACCCTGCTCCTGACCTTGGGCTCACCTCGATGGCAGCATAAGCCTCTCTAAACAGGTCCCAGCTTCCATAGCTGCAGTAGACACAGCCCAGAGTCATGAAAAAGCAGAAAGAGAAGAAGTAGCGATGGTTATAGTGGCCCACACAGTTGTTTAGCCAGGCTGGTGGGGGAATGATTAAGGATAAGATCAAACACAGTTTTCAGGGCTGTCCAGGCCTCGGATCCTCAGTTAGTGATGACATCACCTAAGCCTGGGTCTTCAAGTCACTGAGAACTATTTTCCAAAGGTAGGAAAATAGGAAACAGTTCCCAAGGTTGAGGTGAAAGTGTCCTGAGCTTTCAGAGCCCTCAAGTCTCACCAGGAAATCATGAAAACAGAAATCCTCCCTTAAAATGAGTCTGCCGATAATCCAGCTTAGCTGGGATCAGCCACACATCTGTGCAGGGCAGAGGGGGACCCAGTGGATACCATGGAAGCCAAAACAGTATCTGTTGGCACAACAGTCTACAGAAGACAGCTGTAGGAGATGCCTTGCCCCAGGAAGATCCATCCCAGAGAGCCGGTGAGCCTCCTGTTCTGCCCAGGAGACGGTCAGTCCCACAGCTCTTCTAACTTCTTGTGAGCCCAGTGCTCTCTGCAGGGTGGTGCTAGAAGCCTTGGGTCTGTGCTATTAACCCTGGGCAGTGCCTGGAGCTAAGGGAGGCCTCAGGCAGGAGGGAGAGCTCAAGGATACGGCAGTGATGGTCCATCTTCAGCACACACCTGTGGGGAGGGACACAGGCTGTTACGGTGGCCAAGGTTCCTGAGATGTCAGTGCTGATCCTTTCCTACAAGGACCAGCATCCTGCGAGGGTGGAAGGGGCACAGACTCTAAAGACAGCAGGCCTCGCTTCAGACCCAGCTCTGCAGCTGACTGGCTGAATGACACTGGGCCAGGTCACTCATTTCCACAGTGGCATAATGCGCAACTCCCAGAGCCATCCTGAGGGCTAGGTGTCAGGAGACAGGGAACGCAGCTGGGACCCAAAGGTGTTTCGTGCATGTCTTTGCAAACTCCAGGTCTAGGGTGTGCCCTGGGGCTACAACGTAAGGGCCACAACTGAGGTTCGAGAGAGCAAAGCAGAGACCCACCTATTGCAGATGCTGCAGTGGTGCGTTCGGGCGGGCTTGGGGTAGATGCACTTCTTACAGATGGAGACTGTGGCGATATCATTCCTGCCCTGTGTGACAGGAGACAGGCACCATGACAAGTGTCGCAGCACTATTTCTGTCCCTCAGAAGACTTCAAGGCACCTCCCCTGCCCACTCCTGAGATGGCTCCCACAGCCTGCAACTCCCCCGTGGCCCTGTGGGGACCCACCTGGGGTGGGTACCCAGGCGGAGTGGTGATGGCCTGGTAGTAGTGGAAGACGATGAGGATCAGATTCCAGTGGCTATAGAAGAAATGCCAGCAGAGTCGGGGCACTGAGTAGGTTCGGAGGATGAGGGGCAGAACACACAGGTAGGCGATGGCCACGATGGAGCCGGTCAGGACGACCACCAGCACCACGAACACCTGCCAACACCAGGGAGGTCAGCGAGATGCAGTGAGAGCTACCCTGGGTAGACTCGGGGCTGCCCTGGGATAGCGGGCTGGCCTCTAGAATCCAGTGTGGGTCCTCGAGAGACATGTCCCTCTGCTCCCCCAAAACAGCCCCTTCCCTGCTCCCTGGGCACTCACCACCCCAAACCAGCGGATCACGTTGTCCACCAGCCAGTAGACAGGCTCGAAGGCAGCGTCGACAGCAGTGTCACTGCCTCCGAAGGAGTTGTAGAGCAGAGAGCGCAGGCAGACCTTGCCGTAGCGCCAGCGCTGCACCAGGCCCCGCAGCAGTGGGGGACAGCGGCGCCGGTAGCCCAGGAGCAGGAGCAGGCGCAGGCAGAGGCGGGCTGGGCCCAGCAGCAGGCTCCGCTGGCCCCGCATGGCTCCTAGGAGGACATAACTACCATGAGGGTCCAGCTTAAGTTGTCCTCTCCCTGCCCCGCTAGTGGGAAGGCCCAGAGCATCAGCATGAAGGCCAAACACCTAGACTAGGGCCCAGCCAGGCCAGTCACCAGCTGTGAGAAACGGGAAGGTCCCTCCACTTTCTATATGATGCCTATTGCCAAGGTTCCAACCAGGTTCTGAGTGGGAACAGGAGGTCCCGAGCCTACGGGGGATGCACAGCTAGTAAAGGGTCACAGCAAAGCGGGAGGGAGAGGCAGACAGCTCCAAGGCAAATCAGTGTTCAGAGCTGCCTAGGCAGACAAACCTGTGGGTAGAGCGTGGACAAAGTTACCCACTGAGTCTCCAGCCATGGCCACTGGAGCAGGTTTCCCAGGTCCCCTGCCTGCTCTGGCCCATCAACCTACCTCCTAACAACTGCTCTTCACCGAGCACAGTCAGTGGGGAGTGCACACACAGCTGCACCTGGGTCTTCCTTTGGCAAGCAGTATTCCTCCTGCCAACTTCCTCTGGGCTCACATTACAAGCCAGCAGACCAGCCTGGTGGCATGAGATTCCCTGTCTCCCGTAAGGATGGTCAGCTACCTCTTGCATGACATAAGATGCTTTGTCTCCAATTCCACTCCCAGGCCCACCCCTAGGACGTAGTAGCCAAGACAACTTCAGGTATTCAAAGCAGAACAGCACAGGCAGACACACAGCTGTGGGAGGGGGTCTCCAAGCTGGTGGCTCACGAAGACCTCCGAGATGCCATGTCAGTGACGAGTCTTCCCTGTCTTGTTCTAGGGAGACACTCAAGAACCTCTGCAGATGCTGCCCCTGCCCAAGCTTCCCAACCAGACTTCCCAGATCCTTTTATTTATTTATTTTTTTTTTTAAATTTTGCTACTGTGTACATGCCCGAGACAGAGAAGGAAAGTGAGAAAGCTCCCCTCCTCCCCAGGTGTGATGGCCACACTGAAATCTCTTCTCCTCCCTTCTCTTCTCAAGATTTCGGGCACACACACACACTTATACACCTGGCTTGTCTCTCAAGTTGCTGGGTCCAGGACTTAAACCACATAGTAAGCCACGTGGGATCTAGCCACCTTAAACAGCATGCCACCGGCTAGCCCCTTCCCAGTTTTAGCCTTTTGCATGGTTGCCCTGCAAGTGACTCCCCCTCCTCTATGCAGTTTCTTTCTCATCCAACAGCCTTGGGCAGACATCAGCAACCCTGACGATGACTAGGCCAGAAGACACAGATGCTCTGATTCCTTCTATAACAGTCTCATCAATTGTGCAGAGGAAAGTCTTTTACCAGAACAGGAATTAGCCGACATGGTAGCCACAAAGCACTGTGCTGTCTTCACGTCCACTGACTTATTTAACAGGCAGCTCAAAACTCAGCAGAAACCGGAGGAGGCTGCTCCACTGTACAGATGGTTTCGATTCAGTAACTGGAGCGATGTACTCTCCTTGCACCCTGGCTCATCCCCACACCAGACCTTTCAGAGAAAACAATTCTCTCCTCCCATAAACCCTGTCAACCCTAAGGCAAAAAGAAACCACAGACTACGCCTACAGAAAATGAGAAGACAATTCAATAGCCCAAAGCTCAGTGGTTAAGCCCTGAGCCTAGAAAGTGCCTGACTGAAGTTGCAGTTCCCAGTGGTTTAAAAAATACAAGGATTGGGGAACCAGCAGTTAGCATAATGGCTATGTCGCTGGACTCCCACGTAGTCGACCGCGGTTCGCATCCCAGACCCGGTGGCTTAAAACTCACGCCGGGCACATGTGTGTGCGTGCCCAAGATCCCGAGAGGAGAATGGAGGAGAAGAGATTGAGGCGTGACCATCCCCCCTGGGGGGTGATTTCTCGCTTTTTGCCTCTCTGTCTCTCTCTGTCTGTCTGGCGAGCGCATGCGCCCTATAGCGAAAACCTCTCAAAAAAAAAACAAGGATGGGACCAGTAGTTAGTGTAATGGCTATGTCACTGGACTCCCATGTAGTCAACCCAGCCCCACTGACTTAAACTCATGCCAGGTGTGTGTGCGTGCGTGCCCAAGATCCCAAGAGGAGAATGGAGGAGAAGGAACTGCGGCGGAGCCACCCCACCTGGGGGGTGATTTCTCGCTTTCTCTCTGTCTCTTTCTGGTGAGTGCACATGCCCTACAGCAAAAACAAAACAAAAACCTCTCAAAAAAAAAAAAAAAACACACAAGGCATGAGTGTCCAAAATCCTTACAGGACAGAGAAATGGAGGAACAAGGATTGCTGTGTGACCATGCCCCACTGAGATATTCACTCTATGAGAAAAGGCACTCTGGTGATAAAAGAAAAAAGACAAAAAAATTCAGTAGGATCCCACACTCTGCACCTAGATTAAGAAACTAGCTGTTCCCGGGGCCAGCAGGTGCCATGTTAAGGCGCTGGACTCCCACATGGCCCACCACGGTTCCAGTCCTAGACCTGACAGCTTGAAACCCACACAAGGCATGTGTGCATGTCCAAAATCCAAAGAAGAGGATAAAGAGAAGGGACTGTGGAGTGACCATCCCCCTGGGGACGGGGGGTGATTTCTCACTTTCCCTCTCTGTCTCTGTGTCTCCAGCACATACTCCCGATAGCCAAAGTCTCTCCAAAACACACACACACACACACACACACACACACACACACACACACACAAACTAGCCATTCCTATCACCTCCTAGGAAACTAAGAGAATTAAGAGGGGATGTAGAAGAGCCAGCAGGTGGCATGGTGGCTAAGGCACTGGACTCTCACATGGTTGACTGCAGTTCAAGCCCCTGACCTGGCAGCTTGAAACTTAGGTCAGGCGCATATGTGTGTGCCCAAAATTCCAAAAGGATAATAGAGAAGGGATTGTGGCATGGCCATCCCCTGTGGGGAGTGATTTCTTTTTTTTTTTTTGGAGAGATTTTCACTGTAGGGCGCGTGCGCTCGCCAGACAGAGAGAGACATAGAGACAGAAAGCGAGAAATCACCCCCCAGGGGGGATGGTCACGCCGCAATCCCTTCTCCTCCATTCTCCTCTCGGGATCTTGGGCACGCACGCACACGTGCCCGGCGTGAGTTTTAAGCCACCGGGTCCGGGACACGAACCGCGGTTGACTACATGGGAGTCCAGCGACATAGCCATTACACTAACTGCTGGTTCCCGTGATTTCTTGATGTCTATCTCTCCATCTCTCTGGCAAATACATGTGCCCTATAGCAAAAATCTCTTTCCAAAAAATAAGGGGGAAGATACAGAAGAGGGGGAAGCTTTCTTCCTACTGTTTAGAACCAGTTTGGCTTAAAGCATGACTTTTCAAAATGGTAGTCAGCCACAATCAAATATAAGAGTAGGAAAAAACAGATTACCCCATAACAAACCTAGGTGACTTGTGGGCTGTCCACACTGCTGTTCATTCCCTTCTATGGTTAATGGAGTTCCCTATTTGCTATTGTAAGACACTTTTGATAACAACAGCACACCAACCAGCTGCATTCCATATGTGGATAAACATAAATTATATGCTGCCTCATAGCCACTTCTCCTAATCTTAAAAAAGCTAAAAATCCTCCTCCTCAAATTCTCCACTTTTCAGATCATTCTCAAGTACCTACTGACTTTCTAAGTTCTACGGTACATTTCCCGTAGTCCTGCCTCAAGGACTACATTTACCAACTTTCAGCTGCTCGTACTCTGACTATGTAGGGTTCAGTTAGGCCCCGAAGTATACTAGTTCTGTGATCCTAGGCACATCACTGAATCCTGGTGGGGCTCACTATCCCTGGTCCCCAGGCAATGAGGGGATGGGGGTAAGATGTTCAGACCCCGTCCAGTTCTAACCCTTTATGGTCTACACATATACTATAAGGTACAAATCGTTATAAAGCACCTAGCACAGTACCTGGCTCATGGAAGTACTCAATAAATATTTGTTGAATGAATGACCTGGAGGGATGCAGAAGCAGAAAGCCTGGTCAGAGGTCTATCTGTCCTACAAACACTTGCAAGGGCCAGTGTGATAACACTAAGGAAGTGTCTGCTCCTAGCATTCTTCCTGGTTAATAAAGACAGAAATAAAAACTTGTTAGAATCAGAGCATGAAGAACTAGAAAGCATTTTAGAAAACAAGTCCAACCAGGAATCAACCCAAACACGTATACAGCTTACAGATGCAGAGATACATACCAGATTTGGGTGAACAAAGTCTGCAGCCAGGCCCCCTCCCCTCACTTCAGCTAGTAGGGTACAGGGGAGGGAGCAGGGGACATGCCAAGGGAAAGATATGCAGTCCATGGGCCACAGCTGAATAAACAAGACTTTTCATCTCAGGAAACTGAGGTCGGCAAAAGTGAAAACATTATGTGCCCCAGTGGTGGGTGTGGGGACTGGGGGAGTGGGCAGGTGAGTAGTGATCTAGCATGAGCAGGGGAGGAAACAGACGAAGCGGGGTTAACTATCACCTCTGGACACAAACCTGAGTGCTCCCATCCCTCAGTAGTAGACTCAGGTCATGGTGGCCATCTGCCACCAACCAGCTTAGAGGAGATTGCAGGACACGGCACTCCCCTCTTCCCAGGACTCTAAATCACCATCTGTTTCCCAAGGGAAAACCTGACTGGGAGGTATGGGTGAAAGGGAGGGCCAGAAGAACAGATTCCAAAGCCAGCAGAAGGCCGATAAAATTGAGATTGAAGTCGTGGCAAATCTCATCGGACAGAGGCTGCTCTCAGGATGTCTGCACTCTTAAGCACCTGTCGGACATCAGAAAAGAGCCACATCTTACTCCTCTGCAGGGTCCCTTGGAAGCAAACATGTGGAGAGAGAAAGAGCAGCAACTTCATCCAGGGGCTACTCACTAAAAGTTAAGGCGGGGCCCCCAGAAGCAGAGAACCTGACCGCAGGACTAGAAGATGCACTTGGAAAAACCGGGAAAAGGTTTTATTTCTCCGGGAGAACGGCCGAGTCCAGCTAGAATTAAGTCAACAAATATGGGTTCCAGGTCGGTCTCTATCTCAATTATCTTCGACACTCTGGGACAAGTCAAACCTTGTCTCTGGACCCGAATTCCCAAATCCGAGAAATGGGAGAGTTGGGCTGGCTGACTTCCTGCTCTGCACGTTTCGGCTGCCCGGAGGGTGCGCTCTGCTAGAGGAAGGCACGGCCGGGCAGGGCGGGGCAAGGAGAGAGCAAGCAGCGGACACTAGACTTGGCCCTGGGACAGGCCCCGACCCTAAAAAGCGACTAGGATGGGGAGCAAGGACCGTGCCTTCGCCCTTACCTGTCGCCTGCTGACTCCCTCGTCACCTAATCGAACCCCGCAGCCTCTGCCGCCGCTCACCGCCACCCTCTCCAGCTCACACAACCCACCGCCCCGTGCCCCGCGCCCCACGGCCCCCGCCAGTGGACCCGGACCCGCCGCCTGTCCATCTTCAACCATACGCGCAAGCGCAAACGCAGAGGCGCGGAGCCCCGCCCCCGGAGCCATCCCGAGGCAACCTGGGAAGTGGAGTTACCCGCGGGAGGCGCGCCCAGCTCCCGGCGATCACGTGACAAGCGGACCAATCGGTGCCTGTCTTGCTGCGGAACTGCGCTTGCATTTGACCAATGAGAAGTCGCCTTGGTTTTCATCCGGGCTTTGCGATAGTGGCAGTCATGGCGCCACCCGTGAGGTACTGCATCCCGGGTAAGTGAGCGCCTCTCATACCGAGTCCTAGAAAGGGACAGAGGCAGGAAGGCTAAGCGGCCGGCGGCCTTGGGGGCCCGCGACTGACGCAGCGTTTTTCCTGCAGGCGAACGGCTGTAAGCCAGCCCGGGTAGCGGCACCTACACCCGGCACGGCTACATCTTCTCGTCGCTTGCCGGCTCCCTGACAAAGAGCAGCGAGAACGGCGCGGTAAGGGGCGTCTCCCCCTCTCTCTATGTCTTCCTCGCAGTCTGCCCTGAGTTCCAGTCCCCAGGCAGGAGCGAACACTACAGGAGAACGACGTGGTCTCAGTTCCTTGGGGCCGGGATCGCGCCTGCCATTCACTTGGCCATCACAGAGCAGGAAGGCGGTGCTGGGGGTCCGAGAGGGACTTGAGACGGAAGCACCATCTGTCTGAATGGCGCCGGCCGCTCCAGCCCCACCAGCTCCACCTCACCAACCGTAATCATTCTGGCTTCTTTCAATGTCGGTGATGCGCTTAACTCTCTTGTGCCTCAGTGTTTTGTTAAACACAGGGGCCACCAGGTGGCGTGGTGATTGAATTGCTGGATTCCTATGTGGCCACCTGCAATTAGAATCTGGGACCCCTGGGCTTAAACGTTGGGCCAGGTGCTTGTGCGTGCATGTCCAAAATCCCAGGAGGAGAGTAGGGAAGGAATGGTATAGCCATTCTTCTCTAAGAGGTGATTTCTCTTTTCTCCTCTCTTCCTGCACCCCCTCCGAGTGCATTTGCCCTGTGGCAAAAACCTAAAACAAACACACACTCACAAAGGACTGTTTCTTTCCAAGCACTTATTTCAGCATATGAGTAAGCACTCCGTTCCATGTTTTGCTGAACTCTTAAGTTCTTTGGAGGTAGGCCCCACCATCACACCTTTGGTGCCTGACACAGGGTCACTCAATGGATGTTGTGTGTGAGTAATACTGTCCTCCCTAGTTCCAGAAGTTGATTGAGAGTCAGATAAACAGTATTTGAAGGAGCAGCTTAAAACCCATAGCACAATTTAAAGATTCAGAGTTAGAATACTTAGATATTGGATAACGACGCATTGATTCTCTTTTGGGTAATACTCTTTGAAACTCTGGTTTTGGGTTCTTCCTCACCTATAAAATGAGGGACTTTTTATTCAGTTTTGGGAATGTCCTTAATATTACCAAGTTTGTTCATTTATAGATGTTTCTTGAGCATTTTCATGTGTTGGGCACAGTGTTAACCTCCGTAGAATGTACAATGAACCATATACACTTGGTTTCTGTTATCGGGCGCACAGACACAAATTGTAAACCAGTAAATGCTCTAATGAGTGCTTGGTTACAAAAACGATGACAGTTTTGAAAGGGTGTTACATGATACCTTGAAGACATGTGACAGGAAAACCTACCTTAGTCAGTGGAAGTAACATTTACTGAATCATCTACAGTTTTATATAAGGGTTGGGTAAAGCCTGGCTCTATAGCCTAGTGATTAAGGGAGCTGGATCCCACATAGCCAATCACAGTTTGAATCCTGGCCTTGGCGGCTTAAAAAACACACAGGGTGAGCCAGAGGGTGTCATGGTGGTGAAGGTGCTGGACTCTACATGGCTGATAGTTCTTCAAGTCCTGGACGTGTGAGTTGAAAATCATGCCAGGGTATGTGCTTGCATGCCAAAAATCCCAGGAGGAGAATGGAGAGGGGATTGTGGCATGCCTATCCTCCCCGGGGGATGATTTCTCACTTTCCTGCTCACTGTTTCTCTCTGGGAGTACACATACCCTATAAGAAAAAAATTTCAGAGCCTAAAAAAAAAAAAAAAAAAAGAAAACACAGGGTACATGTGCATGTTCTTGTATGCTCAAAATCCCAAAAGGAAAGGCAAGTGGAGGAGAAGGGATTATGGCGTGACTATTTCCCATTTTCCCATGGAGAATGCCTGCTCTCTCACTCTCAGTATCTGTTTATCTTCCCAGCGAGCACACATGCCCTTCAGCAAATTTAAAAAAAGAAAAATGTTTTATGCTAATAACCAATACCATGCTCAAAAAGAAAAAAACTACTGCTTCTTTTATAATAGAAGAAAACATGAGGCCAGCAGGTGCTATAGTGATTAAGACACTGTATTCACTTTCCCTCTCTCTGTCTCTTGGTGAGTATACAGCCCTATGTCAAAAACTTAAAAAGCACACAATAAAAAAGAGTGGCCACTACAATATAACACTTATTTGGAAATGCTGGCCTGTGTAATAAAATAAGAAACAGGGCCACCTGGTTGCATGGAGGTTAAGGTGCTAGATCCCATGTGATTGACTTTGCCGTTTGAGTCCTCGACTTGTGCCTTGAAAATCACAGTGGGCGTGTGTGCATGCCCACCCAAAATGCTAAGAAGAGATTGGAGGGAAATAGATTATAGTGTGGCCCTATCACCCGTGGGTGGGGGGTGATTTCTCGCTTTCCCCCTTCTCTCTCTCTCATTCTCTCTTTCTGACAGTGCATGCACCCTATAGCAAAAATAAATAAATAAGAAAAAGAAAAAAGTGGTATAATTTCAGAGAAAACGGTCAAACTATCCATGCTGTCAGACAATATGGTTGTATACTAAGAAATTCCAGGAGCATAAGTAAAGCTTAAGGGACTAGCAGATGTCGTAGCAGTTACGTCACTGGACTCCCACATGGACAACCATGGTTCGAGTTCTGGACCTGGTGGCTTCAAAATCACACCAGGAGCATGTACATGTGTGCTTAAGATCCTGGGAGGTGAAAGGGTTGCGGTGTAGCCATCCCCCCTGTGGCGGGGGGGTGTGAGTTTCCACTTTACTTTTCTCTGTCTTTGTCTCTGTCTCTCTCCAGTGAGCACATGCACCCTAAGGCAATAACCTTTTAAGAAAGAAAGAAAACTTTGAACTAATCTGGAATGGATAGGTTATGCATTCTAGCTGCATTCTTCCTGTAGTCCCTCTTGTCCTCTTACTTTCTAAAATGTCTAAGGCCCTCTGCTTTAGGCTATAGATGAAGCCATATTCTACTGCCCTTGTTACGGCAACTGTGCTTCAAGGCATTCCTTTTGGGGTGGGGGAGGTTTTCACTATAGAGCACGTGCGATCGCCAGACAGACAGAGACAGAGAGACAGAAAGCGAGAAATCACCCCCCAGGGGGGATGGCCACCCCACAATTCCTTCTCCTCCATTCTCCTCTCGGGATCTTGGGCATGCACATGCACCCGGCATGAGTTTTAAGCCACCGGGTCCGGGACGCGAACCGCGGTCGACTACGTGGGAGTGCAGTAACATAGCTATTACGCCAACTGCTGGTCCCCCTCAAGGCATTCCTACATTACTCTCAAACTACAAGTACCTTACAGGACTTAGCCAGGACATTCTTTTTTACTTTTATTTATTCATTTGTTTACTTTTAGAGATATGATCTCACTATGTTGTCCAGGCTGGCATTGAACTTATGAACTTCCTGCCTCAGCCAACCTGAGAAGCTGGAATTACATGTACACACCATCACACCCAGGAAAGGACATTCATTTCTTTTTGTTCTCTCTGTAGCTTCCTGTGATATCTGTGACAAGAGAAACAGAGTCCCAGTTACTGCCAGATGTGGGAGCTATTGTAACCTGCAAGGTAAGTTGGTCCTAACCTCCATAGTTAAGACACCCATCCGATGCTGAAACCATGATCCGTCTAGAACTGGAGTGTCTGATATAGTAGCCACTGACCACACGTTACTGTTTAAATTTAATAGTTACCAAAAATTGTTTTCCAGAGATTGCAGGGGAGAGGTAGACCCATTTATAGACCCAAGAATGCATACAAACAAAACAAATAACTTACAGTATACCATAACAAAGTGAAAAAAATTTTCGAAAGGGCATGGTAGATTTATAAAACTCTCATTAAAAAAACTGGTAGAGGGACCAGCAGTTAGTGTAATGGCTATGTCACTGGACTCCCACGTAGTCGACCACGGTTCGAGTCCCAGACCCAGTGGCTTAAAACTCACGCCGGAGGGACCAGCAGTTAGCGTAATGGCTATGTCGCTGGACTCCCATGTAGTCGACCATGGTTCGAGTCCTGGACCTGGTGGCTTAAACTCATGCCGGGCACGTGTGCGTGTATGCCCAACATCCTGGGAGGAGAATGGAGGAGAAGGGGTTGTGGTGTGGCCATCCCCCCTGGGGGGGTGATTTCTCACTTTCTGTCTCTCTGTCTCTGTCTGGCGAGCCCACACACCCTATAGCAAAAAACCTCTGAAAAAAAAAAAAAAAGAACTCACACCGGGCGCGTGTGCATGCGGGCCCAAGATCCCGTGAGGAGGAAGGAGGAGAAGGGATTGTGGCATGGCCATCCCCCCTGAAGGGTGATTTCTCGCTTTCTGTCTTTCTGGCGAGCGCACACATCCTATAGCAAAAATATCTCCAAAAAAAGAAATTACCAAAAAAAAAACTGGTAGAATAGGGGACCAGCAGGCAGTATGGTTAAGGTGCTAGATGCTCCCACACGACTGACCAAGGTTCTAGTCCTGGACCTGGTAGCTTGACAGTCTGAGTATCTTGTCTTTGGTTTTGGTTAACCTGGCTATAATGTGTCTTGGAGAAGATCTTCTTGGGTTGATTCTATTCAGGGTCCTTTGTATTTCTTGGGCCTGGATCTTTGAATGGTTTTCTAGGTTTAGAAAGTTTTCTTGCAGAATTTCAGAGAGTAGTTCGTCAGTGCCCGTATTAGTCTCTTCACCATCTGGGATACCAATTATCCGGATGTTTGGACGTTTAATGGTATCTAGTATTTCTCGTATATTATACTCATTTTGTGGGGGCTATTTTCTGTCTTTGTGGTGGATTTTTCTAGTCCAGCAATTCTGTCTTCTACATCTGAGATTTGATTTTCTGTACGATCTAGTCTGCTTTTAATACTTTTTTTTTTTTAAGATTATTTATTTATTTATTTATTTATTATTTTCACATGCATTTTGCCAGAGAAAGAGAGGAAGACTGAGAAAGCAAGCTGCCAGGTTTGAGACTTGAACCTCTGTTGGCCATGTGGGAATTCAAGCACCTCAACCACTACTACACCTGCTGGTCCCTGCTTTTAATACTTTTAAGGGAGGTTTTGACTTCCTGTACTTGATTCTTTTTATGGTATGTATTTCCTCTTTCAGATCTTGCAAGAACTTCTTCACCTCCTGGAACCCTTTGGCTTTTTTTTCCTGCGTCTTCTGGAGTTCATTGTCTCTCTTCTCTTCCATCTCTATTAGCTTTGTCACTATGAATATTCTAAATTCTTTATCAGACATTTCCATGAGTTCCATTACACTGTCTGTGGATGAAGAGAACTTATTCTTTTCCCTTGAGGAAGAGGTATTTTCTTGGTTTCTTATACTTATTATGCCTCTGCAGTGACTTCTAGTCATCCGATGGGTTGTTTCTTCCTAATTTCTAGAAGTTCAATGTGAGTGTGCAGAGGCATGCAGGAGAAGGTGATCTGTAAACTCTTTACCGTTTTGGTTTTCTCCAGGGTGATCTACCAGTGTGAATTCTCAGCAAAAAACATCTTCATTTCTTTTTAAGTGCTTAGTGGCCACTTGCCTGCTGCCTGCAGTATTATTCATAATATGACATTTTTGTCATCACAGAAGTTTGTTTTAATTTTTCTGTAGGGTCCATGTGCTTGCTGGAGAGAGCTGG